GAATATGGGACTGTGATCCAAACTCACTGCAACAAACTGGCACCAGTTGGTAAACATAGGCTTTCGGTTATGTGACTGGAGACCACCATAAAAAATAGGCTATGAGCGATAACGACATCCTCGAGATGGACTCCGTGTCTGACAGAGAGGAGCTGGAGGGGAGTGTTAAGTCGGGCATGATTGGCGAGGAAGTGGGTGAGAGAACCACTTTGAATTGCACAGTCTTGTTATTCAGGCGTGGATGTTGTGTGCGATCATGGGGTTTTATCCTAGAGTTACATAATTTAATGTTTATAATACTTCAGTTAGGCCATACTCACCTATGGAAAAGTTACCACTACTCTATGGTTTGTTCTCAGAATAGATAGGGGTGTTGAGTGATACAACTAGTTGGCTTTAAAGCATATGTGAAAAATGTGAGTGATGGAAACCTACACGTAGTCCTCTAGTATGCTACAGTATGTTTCAGTGTCTTTGCAGCTGTCAGAACCCCACCAGCCAGCACCCACCCAAAAAACTATTTTTGTAATTCTGGGGAAAGATTTTTCAGTCCACCATAACTTCCTTTGTGTCTGTCGTGCCCACAGTGACATGGCTCCCTGTGGGTTACCACAGTTGTCAGTAATGCAGTATGTCAGACGTCCTGACCATAAGAAAATGACCAATGCTTTTCACACAAAATACTCTTTCTAATGGAATCTATATTCCATTGTGGTGAATTATTAATGCTCACACTTTGTGTTCACAGTGGAGTGGCTCACATAATACTTATTTAATTTGTTTTATTCAGTTGGTTAACTAAAACTGATGTCTGTCTTAACATAGATCTGACATTAGCCTGTCAGATCTATGTTAAGACTAATGAAGGTCGGTGGATGTTAGGGTAACAACTAAGTATATCCCATATTAATATACCACTCTTGTAAATGATACCATATTGCAGTGAAAATTTATTATCATTGATTCTATTTCACATGCAAAGCAAATTATTATAAGCACTTACTGATAATATAGAAAACAGATGTGCTAATTTTCCTCCTAGGAAAGACCTATGTCATAAAGTGCCCCAGTGTTTGAAGCAGAGAATTTCCTGTCAGACACAGAGAAAGATACTTGGCTGTGGCTCACATTAAACTTAAAGTGTTAAGTGTTTAAATGTTAGCCCAGAAGTCCAGTAAAATCTGTATCATGTACCTTAATGCTGAAAAAATTAAACGAACTGAGTTTAACCCAACTGTATATGTCAAAAGATGCTTTTCTCAGTTTGTCTGGTCTATCTTTATGTTTTTTTGTGATGTTATAGAGGATGTTTTGTAGAAAGGAAGTGGGTGTATTGCGGCTAGAAAGCAGGCACCACGTGCACATAGATTTCATGCTTTTCAGAATCCTTTTTACTCATTGTAAGTTGCAGAGGTTTCATAGCAGTGCTTCACTTGGGTTTAATGATGCAGTAGCTTGTGCATATGTTGTTTTTTTACAGACAAAAGTGGAAATGGTAGAAAAAATGTGGATGCTACTTCAGTCAGGAAACAACATAAACAGAGCAAGTGGAAACAATCATTACCTTACACATGATATTGTATTACATGGAGCATAGAGTTCACTGAGGATTTGGGCCTGTTGTATGTCAGTGCTACAAAGATGGAAAATCTGTTAACCAGCTGCTAATACGGATTTTGTATAATTTGTTCTTTGTGCCATCTTTTCACAAGTGAGAGGAGTTAGATATTACAAAGCTAGACTGTTATATTTTCAGCAAATTAATATACTGTATAAGAAGAATGTGCCTACTGCTCATTAGACAATTTTTCTAATGAGCAGTGTTGTTACAGTTAAGTTTCCCAGGGCGCTATGGCCAGTATTTTGAAAACAACATCTGTTTTCAGTTAGTTTTCTCATGGTGTTCCAAATTACAGTATCTGGAAAGATTGCAGGACTTTCTTTACTGAATTACTGTATGTGTCATCTGTTTTGTAAAAAAAGGGGAGGGGGCATTTATAATACAATTAGTGGGCATATAAGAAAGTACACATTAGTTGACTGGACAAGACGATTCCCGTCTTGTCCAGTCAACATGTCGAAATGTCTTTGAGCAAGACACTGAACCCCCAGTGCATAGAAAAGCACTATACAAGTATAGGACCATGTCTGTGTATACCCATTAATTTGTCTTGCTTGTTTATTCTGCAGTTTACCCTGAGGAATTTTTACCAACATATCATACGATTCAAGAAGGAGCAGGGTTAGTCAAAGCACAGCTGGTGAGTCAATGCAATTTGTGTTGTCATCTTGATTAATTGTTCATTGTTATCATACAATCATAGGGTCAAGGCTACATGTAGGAAAAATCTGTTGAATCTTACAAATATCCTGTACATAGGTACCTGTTTTTGCAATTATTATGAATACTATAGCCAAAAGAGTTAACATTTCTTTGGAATTTCTCAAGAAAGAAATATTTAGTTAACAGAAAGCAGACAATGACATTATTGCACCATGAGGCAGTTATCTATACAAAAACACAGTTTGATATCAGCAACCTGAAAGTAGTTGTAGTTAGATATGCTTCATTAATTCTTAGGCATGTCCCAGGTTTATGTGTACACACACACACAGTGGGTGGATATCATAATGTTTGTTGACTCATGCATCTCCTGCATGTCGCCACATCACAGGTTAAATAGGCTGGTCAGTATTTAACAGTAACTCTGCGCAGACATATTGTTCACATACTGGCCTCTCACTCTGTTCAACATGTATAACATTATGAAAGAAGAGGAGTTTGAGTTCCACTCGATAGACTTACCTAAGGAGATCAACTTTCACCCTCAGGCAGAGTTTAACCACAAGCCCGACTCCTTATTCTTCAATGATGGTGTGAGACGGATCGACTTCATCCTGGTCTATGAAGATGAGGACAAGAAGGAGTATGCGAAAAGGCACGAATATCAGAGGCACAAGGTAGGTCTGTCATTTTTTAAAAGCTGGTTGCTTTTTTACAGTATATTATCTATCATCAAATCTGTAGATATATTAAGTATTGCAAGTGGTACTCACATTAAACTACAAAATATTCTACTCACAAAAATGTATCATCTGTTTTTTAGGGTTTTTTTGGCCACTTTTTACCATTATTAGATAGCAAACAACAGAGAAGACAGGAAGTTTTGGCAGAGAGAGGAGCAGGTGGCATTCACTGATCATGATAAAATACATGAATAAATATAATATGCCTGTGCTGTTTTAATACAGACACAAACTGTATTTAATCTTGCCTATTTGTAAAGGGAGTTTTTATTTGCATCAGGATCGCATTCTGCAATGATAAATAATTACTATTGACCGTGGATATTCAGCAGGGCACAAACAATTAAATATTGCTTTAGCCTTTCAGCTGAACATACATTAGATTATTGTGCCTCACTACAGTACTACACAATCTTTCACCACCACATATTTTAATCATAATGTGTTCAGTGCAGTTGCTGGCTAGGGGGAAGATTTACCAAGAAATTTCAAGTCAAATCATTCTGCACAGAAGGCTCCTTGTTTTGTGGATGCTTTACAGCATCCACACTATGTTCTCCTGTTCTTTATTTATTGTGTGGATGTTGTGAAGAATCCACACTATGTTATCCTGTTGTTTATTATTCTGATTTCTTCTGTCCATTTTTCGGCACTTCATTTCTTCAGCATACTTTCAGCTGAAAAAGCCAT